AAAAGTTAATGTAGTCGTCGATGCCCTTAGCCGTAAAAGCATTGGTAATGTATCGTCTTTAACCGTTCAGTCCCATATTGCTTCAGATCTAGAACGTATGGGTATCACTTTGTATTATCATGGTGCAAATGAACTTTTGGCTAGTCTCACGGTTGAACCAACTCTTGTATCTCGAATCAAAAAGGCTCAACAAGAGGATGGAGAACCTTGGGCTATCTTACAAAAGGCTAAAGATGATTCACAGACTAATTTTCAAGTTGATGATAAAGGTATTATCTGGTTCTCTAATCGACTTTGTATACCCGACAATCCTGAACTCAAAGAAGCAGTTATGAGTGAAGCTCATAATTCGTTGTTCTCAATTCATCCCGAATCCACTAAGATGTACCGAAATCTAAAACAATATTTTTGGTGGAACGGTATGAAACGGGATATAGCTGAATACGTGGCAAAATGTCTTATTTGCCAGAAAGTGAAGATTGAATATGAACGGGCTAGCGGATTGTTACAACCATTAGAGATTCTAATTTGGAAATGGGAACATATCTCTATGGATTTTATGACAGGACTACCGAAAACTCAGAGACGACATGATGCTATATGGATAGTAGTTGACCGTTTGACAAAATCGGCTCATTTCCTACAGGAGACGTACCCTATTAGTAAACTGTGCGATCTATTCCAGCGGGAAATCATGAGGTTGCATGGCACGTCGGTTTCTATCACATCAGACCGAGATCCGCGATTTACTTCTCGATTCTGGAAAAGTCTTCACCAAGCTTGGGTACACGATTGACTATGAGTTCAGCTTTTCATCCACAAACAGATGGTCAGACTGAACGAACTATTCAAACTCTAGAAGATATGTTATGGGCTTGTGCTCTTGAGTGGTCTGGTGGTTGGGATGAGTCTCTATATCTTGTGGAGTTCGCGTATAACAATAGTTGGCAAGCAAGTATCGGCATAGCCCCGTACGAAGCTTTATATGGTCGGAAATATAGAACACCGATTTGTTGGAATGAAGTGGGGGAACGAGTTATCGAAGGACCCAAACTTGTCCAGATTACTACTGAAAAAGTTGAGATCGTAAAACAGAAAATCAAAGAGGCTCAATCTCGACAGAAAAGTTACGTTGACAAGCATCGAAAGCATTTAGAGTTCCAAACGGGTGATCACGTCTTTCTAAAAGTTTCACCGTTACGAGGTATTCGTAGGTTTGGAATTAAAGGTAAACTTAGTCCAAGATATATCAGACCTTTCGAAATCCTTGAACGGGTTGGAGAGGTGGCGTATCGCCTAGCGTTACTTCTTCAACTTTCACATATCCATAACGTTTTCCATATCTCGTTGCTCTGCGGATATCATTATCACTCTCTCCATGTGATTGATTATCCGTTGGACAAAGTTGAAAAAGATCTCTCTTATAATGAAGAACCCGAGGCGATAATTAATCAAGAAGAGAGACAAATGCGACGAAGGTCAATACCATTCATTAAAGTGTTATGGCGAAATTATTCTGACCGAGAAGCCACATGGGAAACGGAAGAATCTATGCGAAAGGAATACCCTTATCTATTTGAGTCATGTATATCCTCTAACCCTATCTAAATTTCGAGGACGAAATATTCTTTTTAGGAGAGGAGGATTATAATATCCGTGTTCCGTTAACTCGTACAAATTGAGATAAGTAAATTTTTGGTAGAATTGTGCATAACATATTTGTACCCTATGCTTAACCAACTTGTACCTCATACTAGTTTTGTGTCAAAAGTTAAGTTTATATCTATATTGACATAGAGTTGAGAATCAAACTTAAAGGGTTAAAAACCGTCAGATAG